CTTGTGTTTTGAAAAGAGATTATTCGGTAGGACTTTTCAATGAAAATAAAACTAAATGAATTAATACTTTTGCATACTGACACCTATCAACAAATAAACAAACGAAAAAGAATGCTGTTAGTTTCATTAGCAATTAGATCAGTGAAATATCATCATGACTAAATATATAAAAAACAGATTCATTTCATACTTATACGTCTCTCTACTCGGCCCGTTCCCACATCCACCAGCCGTTTTATCCTTCCATTCACCAGTCTCCTTAACAGTATCTCTTATTATGACTATCACCTATTACTATCATTATCACTACCGAATTTACAATTATCGCTATCTGAAATCACGAAACTTAATAATCACTGAACATTTAATCAGACAAATGTCAAAATTTCTACCGTACGGATGACAGTTACGATAATTCGTCAGTAAAGAATCATGTCAAACAAATGAAAACAATGCTTCACCATAATTATACAGAATTAAACTCAAAAATGAAACAGACAAATAATGAACATCTTCGCAAGATTTACCCTTTTCTTATTTGTATATGGAACTTTCATTTTTTGAAGACGAAATTCCGCACTCGAATAGACCCTCAGTGTGTAATAAATGGTGTTCAACTTTTCATGCTGCAAATACAAAAAAAAACATTCATCATCGAAACCTTTCAATACCCGAAAACTGTTTACAAATTTCGAATGTCTCACTTATCGATTTCGTGTACGTATAAATCTGCATATGGACTCTAACAAGTGATCAAATAAAAAGGAATTTCGAATGCGTACGAAAAAATGCTCTCTCTACTAATAACGCAATAGAGATTGCATTCGTCAACGAAATTCGAGAGATAAACTGAATGAAAGCAAGCTCACACCTGAGCAACGACCAGTGTATAGTTGTGAATACCTGCTTCTTTGACAGTCATTTGACATAAATAGTGTGGACTGTTGATACGAATAGGATCCATTAGTGGTTTCGGATCAACTAGAATTATTACATTTTAAAATTTAATTTGCAAATGAATATCATCAATCCAGTAAATATATCCCTTAAAAAACGAAGTGTACGTATAGATTCCCGAAGAAAACTAAATAAATCAAAAACATGAAAAGTTTCGATGCTCTTACAGTTAACATATCACAATGACTTCTAATTCGAATAGCAATTAAGATGAAACAGAATATCACTCACATGGCAGATAGACCTTTTTGCCCGACTTATAAACCATCACCGTTATAAATTCTTTATTATCAGCAAAATCTGCCTGAAACGCAAAACAATACTCACATTAAAAGTTGTGTGAATTCATCAAAGAAATTCCATATGAATGACAACGACCAATTCACTAACGTTTAGTAATAATATACGAGAACAGAAGTAATTGCATCGAGGAGACTCAACTAAATCGACGATCAAAAGGCAGTACACATTCAGTTCATCACACCTTACCTTATCAGTAATATGCCTCGTCAATAAAATCCAAATCGCACACGAACCACTTTTATTGTTCACTTCCAACGAGTATTGTGGATTATCAGCTACACTATAAAGATCTTTTACGGGTCCCATACCGGCTGACCATTTTCTAAAATTTTCTTCGATGAATTATTCCGTTCTAATGGATGTTTCTTCGAACACTGATAATGAATGGATAATTCCTTATCACCGTTGACTTATAAAACTAAGCAATCTAAATTATTGATCTCTTGCGCTGGTGAAAAACAACAGCAGGAGTGAAGAATAACAGTAACATATAATAAATGATAACAACTTGCTCCAAGAAATAAATAGAAATTCGGAAGGGCTTTCCATTCATTCCCAACGCTTTTCATTATGGCTTTAATTGCTTCAATATCACCAAATGAACAAACCAAAAACCAATCAAAATTTAAGTTGGTCAACAAGAACGATTAAAAATACGTTATCAATCAAACCAAAAAAAAANACTCAAATAAAATAATTTCATTTATGAATAAATCAAAAATAACCATCATCAAACTGTTGTGCGTCAGCTGGATTGTAATTGAGTGCTTTACGAAGCTCAGCCGTCCAACTGGCGGTGTCTTTCTCCGAATAACGACCCTTCCACCTCAGATGAGTCCACGGATTTTTCACCATCAACATTCGTTTGTTCTGAAATGAGACTGAATGCTTCTCGTCTCAATGAAATGTTATCAAAAACAATTTGACGAATAAAGTCGCATTTGTGAATATAAATAAAAGGATGGGGCACGTACCGAAACCTTTCTTAGATCTAACACTGCATAAGCATGTGTATCAACAAGACCCGTACGATCGGCTTCACTCTGTGACATCTTGCCAGTTGCCAGGGTGATCAAGCAATGCCCTTTATGAAATCTGAACATTTTTTAATTTTATTTCTTCACACTCCCAGCAAACTTTAAAATATTTCGGTGACAATCACAGCAAATTGCTGAGGAAATTTATAGACTACCATTATGTCACTCATATGCAAGTAATATATGGAAGACAACGTTTTTGAATGCATAAAAATTACTGATCAGGAGGAAAGCTAAGGAATATAGGAGATTCCTTTGAAGCGAAGCATTGATGAGTACCAATAACGTAAACAAAAGTGAAAAAATCGGATTCAGAGTAACAATATTACTACAACAAATCTTATTCAAGCCTTGAATATAAATTCAATTAAAACCATCTTACCTCGTAAGTAGTTTTTCAAAAACGGCATCCGCATCGAACTCTTTCGGGTCCGGTCGAATAGCGATTCGCTCCGGGATCCATCCAGTCAACGCATGCATATCGATACTCTGTATTTTGATTGAGTTTTACTATCGCTTATCTCCTCGAGTGCCTTTATCATTGTTATTCTTATTCATTTCTTATCATCACTTAAGATTAGTAATTTTACGATCAATGAAATATTTNATCATTGTTATTCTTATTCATTTCTTATCATCACTTAAGATTAGTAATTTTACGATCAATGAAATATTTCGGTTTTCAATCGAGTACAATTCCATTACAACGGTTATAAGCACAGCAGCTGTTATCGAAAGCACTCAATGCCGCGATGAGGATTACGATTATCAAGAGAACGAGAACTGTATTTGCCACAAAAAATACTAGCGCCTTTAAGTATACCGAGTTAGATCCGGGGAAATCATATCCACCCATCACTTTCATATAAGCTTTCTCCAATAACGATACCCATAACTCGTTCCTAAAATTCAATTTTCTTTATAATTCTGATGATATTGTTCAGTTTCATCAACAATTCTTGCAACATTACATAATTCAACTATCAATTATTTTGAACTGCCGAAACGTTGAATTCACAATTATGCATATTATCTACGTGAATTACAATAGATTTTTTTGTTATGGCAATAATTTGATTGATATCTTTCAATATATATCCCATTATGCATTGTTAATCCACTTCATTAATCATTCTATTGATGGGTCGAAACATGTTTTTTCTAACACGTTCTTCAACAATGCAGAATAACGAGTTTGCTGAGCAGTTCCAGCAAAACAACAAAACAATACTCACTTGTTTTGACTGTATGAACACAGAAAGTCACCGTGTTCGCCAATTG